AACTCTTGGATCTCCTGATGTACCGAAAGGTCATTCATCTCCATTAGACAGTGGAAGATGTTGAGGCTTCTGTCAGGACACTTATCATAAGTTTTAATCTCCTTCAGGTTGTTGATGACTCTCTGGATGATTTGTGGACTGCTCTTTGTCTGACCCAGCAGACCACCTAAGAGTTTTTGGTTGGACTTCAGAGTGAGGCCATGAAGGAAGCGAACAAACAGTTCCAGGTAGCCGCTGTCACTTAGGAAAGATTTCTCCAAGGCATTGCTCAAAAGATCTTCCAGAGATGAAATGTCCTTTTTAAGGAAGTCCTGCAGCACCTCTGTCTTCCTGTTGGTGTAACAGTGGAACATGTAGACTGCAGCCAGAAACTCCTGAATGCTCAGATGAACAAAGCAGTAAACTGGTTTCTGGAAGATCACAGATTCTTCTTTGAAGATCTTTGTACAAACTCCTGAGTACACCAAGGCCTCTGTGACATCCAGACCACACTGCTCCAGGTCTTCTTGGTAGAAAATGATGTTTTCTTTCTCCAGATGTTCAAATGCTAGCTTCCCCAACTTCAGAAGAACTTCCCTGTCAGCATTGGTAAGCTTCTGTACACCTGTCCCATGCCCTTCAGAGTATTTGTGTTTTTTCTTCTTTATCTGAACCAGCAGGAAGTGTGAGTACATGTCAGTCAGAGTCTTGGGCAGCTCTGCTCTCTCCTCTGTAGTCAACATGTGCTCCAGAACTGTAGCAGTGATCCAGCAGTAAACTGGGATTCCACACATAATGTGGAGGCTCCTGGATGTTTTCAAGTGGGAGATAACTCTGCTGGAGAATGCTTCATCTCTGAATCTTCTCCTGAAGTACTCCTCCTTCTGAGAGTCAGTGAAACCTCGTACTTCTCTCACCCTGTCAACACATTTAGGAGGAATCTGATTGGCTGCTGCAGGTCGGGAAGTTATCCAGATGAGAGCAGAGGGAAGCAGATTCCCCTCGATGAGATTTGTCAGCAGCTCACTGATGGTTGACTTCTGTGTCACATCACAAACAAACTTCCTGTTGGTGAAATCCAACAAAAGTCTGCTTTCATCCAGGCCATCAAAGATGAACAAAAGATGACACACAGTGAGCTTCTCTGCTGTGACGCTCTGTAATGTTGGAAAAAATCATGGATCAGCTCCAGGAGACTGTACTGCTCATCTCTGACCAAGTTCAGCTCCCTGAATGAAAGCACAACAACTGCACTGATGTGTTGGTTTTCCAAACCCTCTGCCCAGTCCAGACTGAACTTCTGCACCAAGAAGGTTTTTCCAATGCCAGCAACACCATATGTCAGAACCACTCTGATGGGTCTTTGTTGGTCAGGTAAGGTTTTAAAGATGTCCTGGCAGCTGATTGGTGTTTCAAGGAGGATCTTCTTCTTGGAAGCGCTCTCCACCTGCCTCACCTCATGTTGGAAGCAAAATTCGTTATTCTCTCCCTCAGTCATGTAGAGCTCAGTGTAAATCATTCTGAGGAGGGCTCCACATCCTGTTTTATTAGTTTCCTCAGTCACATGTTCATATCTTGTTCTCAGACTGACCTTTAGTGCATCTGAAATTTTCTGCAGATGAGCATCTGTTGACAGACAGGTAAAACAAAAACCCATGAAACTGGAGAGCAAGAAAAGTGGTTAATGTGTCAATAGCATAATAAGAAGTGCAGTTTTTCACAAAAAAAAAAAAAAAATCAGTCCATCAGCAGAAAGATGTTAAGTCTTTCTTTTTCAAAAGCTGCTCTTACTGGTTGTCTGCATACCAGGTCTGGTTCTGGATCTTTCTCCACATTGGGGACACGAGGACTTTCTTGATGAATCCTTCAAGACTTTCTGACACAAAGGACAGCAGGACAGTGGCTCCCCAACCAGTGGCACATCTCTGTCAATACCAAAGTAAATTCAGAATATACCCGAGGTTTACATACTTTCTGGAAACTTTGTTTCAAAGACAGAAACACTCCAATCTGCGAGGTAAATTATATATTAATCCATAATGAAATAGGACATGTCAGTGCTCATGCCTATAGCTAATAAATTGTGAATGACCCAGAAACATTTACTTGGAATGCATTAACACATAGGCAAAGATAGTTAGACTTCATAAAAACAGTTCTTCCTGCTGACAACTGACCATCATCTCAGTTTTGGACAAACAGTCTATTACTTTATGTCTATGGCCTAGGTTTGTCATTTTAAATCAATTTTAAAAAGAGCTTGCTTGGGGAAAAATAAAAATACAAAACAAAAAAGATTATCAAAGTCTTTCTCAAAAAGACTAGAAAAAAGCTGGCATGTTAAAAAAGTTCACCCAAATAATTCCCTGTTTTTGGAAGACAGAATTTACCCAGAGCTTTGAAGAATGGTGCCTTTTTCTCTCCACAGACTTTACACTTCCAATAGCAGTCATTTAATTCATTTTGATATGTAATCTAAAAAATAACCTACTCTGGAGTTGGTTAAATATAATTTAGTGACTCCACTCTAACAAACCCCTTTGAAACAATACAAAGCCTGCAAGAAAGAAAATCATCATCAGCTCGCTTTTCAACAGGATCTCCTACTGTGTGACTGAGGGTCCAGGTTCATGACTGGACGCTAATCTCTGGACTTGTCACTGTTCATGGATATAGAGCTGGATCCTGGAAATAATTTTTATACTTAAATAATTGTAACCAAGGAATTAGCAGTCTTGCTACGAATGTGTTCACATTACAGGTGTGTGGTTGGGACAATGTCTGTCCTTTCAAAGATGAGACCATAGGCAGATTCAAGTGATTTGTTTTTGTGACTATTGTTCGTTGATTCTATTGCTTTGCTCCTGCTAAATACAGTGGCTTGCAAAAGTATTTGGCCCCTTGAACTTTTCCACATTTTGTCACATTACAGCCACAAACATGAATCAATGTTATTGGATTTCCAGGTGAAAGAACAATACAAAGTGGTGAACACGTGAGAAGTGGAACGAAAATCATACATGATTCCAAACATTTTTTACAAATAAATAACTGAAAATTGGGTGTGCGTAATTATTCAGCCCCCTGAGTCAATACTTTGTAGAACCACCTTTTGCTGCAATTACAGCTGCCAGTCTTTTAGGGTCTGTCTCTACCAGCTTTGCACATCTACAGACTGAAATTCTTCTCAAATAATATTAAAGACTGCAAAAAACCAAATCATATTTGCTCAATTTACAACAGAATCAGTCACTTACTTTGTAAATGAGGGTCCAGGTTCATGACTGAAGGCTGGAGGATAATCTCGAGAATTGTCACTGTTCATGGACATACTGCTGATGTCTGGAAACTCTGCTCTGTGTTTGTGCCGCTGATGTCTGGAAGCACAAATATAGAATGAAGCCCAGATTGTTCTTCTACATGGTGTGCCACTCTTGGTGGCCATTAAGCAGCTTATCCCTATGTCAGACTCATGAAGCTGAAGCACTGGATGTTCTCAAAGCCACTGGAACCATGGTCATCCTTTTAACATGACTCTTGAATCTATAGTTACATTTTTCAGTTTTGTTTAGGTTTTTATGTTACATATCCAAGTTATTTTTCATTCATCTGCATTCACTAATTCAAACACTGGTAACAAGGATAATGAGTCACACAAAGCTAGTTAATTGAGTCTCTTAATTAAAGGTCTAGCTTTGAGCATGTTCCTTTGGAAGGTGTAGCATCTAACCAAATCAAATCATACATAAAGTAGAAGAGCAGCTATATTACAAATTAGGGCTGGGCTATATCATACCGTTCACGGTAACACCGGTGTAATTTTGGGCAACGATAGTAAAATGAAATATCGCAATAGAATATGGGTAAAACGCGCATGCGCAGTGCCTTTGTTTACATACGCACATGACGGCGACGCAGAATGAGAAGAGCGAAAGTGGATCGTTAAATGAAACAGATGAACCAGAATTGGCTTTTAAAAATGCTGCAACTTCAGTGGTGTGGAACTGGTTTGGCTTTCGTCCGTCAGATACACAACAAAGCACTATTTTTGGTAGCGCATGCTAGCGGACCGTCGTTATTACCGTGTTGTTTGGAAAATACTGAACACTTAAAATCAATCCTTTGATTTTTCTGAAAATCGACAGTGACCCTTTAATCCCGTGTGCCTTATGTATGAACTCTGGTTGCGTTCACTGACCTCGAAACGATTTTATGTACACGGCGCTCGAAAATCTGTCAAATGTTTTAGTACAACTTTGCTAAGCTACGAAGCCGCACCGCTTGATGGATTGTCGGAGCATTACGGCTATCGTAGGCAGGAGCCTCGCGGAGTGATACGTACTGTGCTTCAAAATAATATTA